CTTCCCAAGAAATTCCTGTGCGATTTCCAAGTCCTTATCTGTGTGACCCATTGAGTCTAATCGGGATTGTTTGTGACACCATGAGCAGGAGGTCATTAACTGGCACATGGACAACTTATCAGGAATTACATCACTGAAAAAGTGACACCTCTTTCCCTAGCCACCATTAACTGCTCAAAGTCCCTAAGGAGGGGTGGGATCTCATGAGGAAAGGTGGACAGGCCCAACCATATGCAGTTCTTGTGCAGGTAACCACAGCGATTGTGAGTTCATGAGTGTAACAGCCATGTCGTTCCACACATCTCCCCATCCTCCAGCTTTTTTGCTCTTTCTGCTTTACTCTTTCACCATGTTCCCTTGAGTATTGGAGGGCTTAATACAGGGGATCTATTTACAGCCAAGCATTCCACCATCCTTTACTCTTGGCAATTCGACCAGTTATGAGTCTGCAGTAACCACTGCCCACTGACTTAAGATGCTTCTCTGACAAAGTCTGAAAGCATCACTAATCTTTAAACATAAACGTGTAGAAATCAGGGTGGTCAGGAGTTGACTTAGAAAAAACATAATGGTTCCCTCTGAGGCCCTATGATCTCCCCGCCTCCCACTCTTGAACAGGTTTATAGTACCAGACAAGATTTCTCTCCTTTGCATCAGGCCTAAAATTCAACCAGGAAGCAGCTAGTTACCCCTATAACATCCATGAAACTATTGCACCATGTACATATCTCTCCAGGCCAGTCATTTGTGTAGCTCTTAAAGTTCACAGATGCAGAAGCCTGCCATCACACCTTCAGCATTATCAAGGCTAGCCAGCAGGGGGCATTGTTCCCAGGTCAGTACCAACATATTTCTCCAGGTTCTATGACTACAGAGAGTGGTGTCTTCAGCAATATTCTTACCATCCATTTCTGCCAGACAAGAGCAATGGTAATAGTTTGAGGAGGGCGGGGATTTTGTGGCCTACCTTGTTGAAAGTATTTTATCACAGCAACAGGAAAAGAAACTAAGAGCAAGATTATAAGCAATTTTTGTTTTCTTTCAGAAGTTTGTCTGCATTACCTAAATTTCCTGAAACAAATGTCATCAAGACTGTCAGTTCTGAGCCGGGCATTGGTGGCGCATGCCTTTAATCCCAGCACTCAGGAAGCAGAGGCAGGCGGATCTCTGTGAGTTCGAGGCAAGCCCGCTCTCCAGAGCGAGTGCCAGGATAGGCTCCAAAGCTACACAGAGAAACTCTGTCTCAAAAAAACCAAAAAAAAAAAAAAAATTGTCAGTTCTTAGAGTGTCTCAGTGTGTGTGTGTGTGTGTGTGTGTGTGTGTGTGTGTGTGTGTGTACATGGTGTGGGCCATGTGTGCCACAGAACACTTGTGGAGGTAAGAGGACAACTTTTAATAGTGTCTCTCTTCTTATACTTTTATGCTAGATCCCAGAAATTAACTCAAGAGCGCTTGACAAGTACTCTCACCCACTAAGCCGTGTCGCCAGCTCACAAATATCATTTTTTAAACTCCCATACCAAATTTTCCATTTACTTATTACAAAAAAAAAAAATAGAAGGGCAGCCAGGCTATGGTGGTGCATGCCTTTAATCCCAGGCAGAGATAGGTGGTTTTTGTTTTTTGTTTTGTTTTGTTTTGTTTTTGTTTGTTTGTTTAAGGCCATGCTAATCTTCAAAATGAGTTCTAGGACAGCCAGAACACACAGAGAAACCCTGTCTCCAAATAAATAAATAAATAAATATATAAATATAGGACTACCCAATACACAAAGCTTTAGATGATATAAACTTCTGCAAAATTCATTTTTTTCTCTTTTTTCTCTAGAAACATTCACTTTACATATCCCCCTTCCTCTCCCTCCAATCCTCCCGTACCTCCTACCAACCCCCCAACCCACACCTCCTCCCCAAGGACAGTGAGGCCTTCCATGGGGGATCATCAAAGTCTGTTACATCATTTGGAGGAGGGCCTAGGCCCTCCTCCGTGTATCTGGGCATAGTGTCCCTCCATAGGGAATGGGATCCCAAAGTCCATTTGTGCACTAAGGATAAATACTGGTTCCACTGTTAGAGGTCCCATAGCTTGCCCAGGCTTCCTAACTGGCACCCACATTCATAGGGTTTGGTTCAGTCCAATGCTGGTTCCCTAGCTTTATGACTGGGGTCCATGTGTTCTCACTAGGTCAGTCAGCTGGTTCTGTAGGTTTCTCCAGCACAGTCTTGACTGCTTTGCTCATCCCTCCTCCCTCTCTACAACTAGATTCCAGGAGTGGCTCAATGCTTAGCTGTGGGTGCCTGCTTCTGCTTTCATCAGCTACTGAATGAAGATTGTTCAGGGGGCCTGGTTTGGTCCTGTGTTGGTTCCCCAGCTGTCAGACATGAGTTCCCACTTTCTTAGGTCAGCTGTTTCTGCAGGTTTTCCAGCGTGGTCTTGACCCCTTTGTTGGTCACTCCTCCCTCTCTGAAACTGGATTCCTGGAGTTGGGCTCAGTGCTTAGCTGTGGATCTCTGCTTCTGCTTCCATCAGCTAGTGGATGAAGGCTCTAGAATGGTATTTAAGGTAGTCATCATTCTCATTATACGGGAAGGACATTTAAGGTAGCCTTTCCACTGTTGCTTAGTGTCCTAGTGTCCTTGTGGATCTCTGTACAATTCCCTAGTGCCAGATTTCTCCTTAAACCTATAATGGCTCCCTCTATCGGTGTCTCTTTTCTTGTTCTCCTCTATTCCTCTCCCCTCTCAATCTTCCTGATCCCTCATGTTCTCCTCCCCCCATCTTCTCCCCTCCCCTTTCTGCTACCTCCCTCCCCCTCTCCCCATGCTCCCAATTTGTTCAGGGGCTCTTGTCTTTTCCACTTCACTGGAGGATCATGTATGTCTCTCTTACAGTCCTCCTTGTTTCCTTGCTTCTCTGGAGCTGTGGATTGTAGGTTGGTAGTCCATATATGAGTGAGCACATACCATGTTTGTTTTCCTGTGACTGGGTTACCTCACTTAGAATGGTTTCTTCTAGTTCCATCCATTTGCCTGCAAATTTCAATATCCCATTTTTTTCCACTGAGTAGTACTCCATTGTGTAAATGTACCACATTTTCTCTAACCATTCTTCAGTTGAGGGGCATCTAGGTTGCTTCCAGGTTCTAGCTATTACAATATAGCTATAATGCTGCTACGAACATAGCTGAACAGATGTCCTTGTTGTATGAATGTGCATCCTTTGGGTATATGCCTAAGAGTGGAATTGCTGGATCTTGTGGTAGACTGGTTCCCATTTTTCAGAGAAACTGCCATACTGATTTCCAAAGTGGCTGTACAAGTTTGCACTCCCACCAGCAATGGGGAAGTGTTCCCCTTTCTCCACATCCTCTCCATTCAATTCATTCAAGGGTACTTCCCACTTTCTCCTCTAAGAGGTTCAGTGTGGCTGGATTTATGTTAAGGTCTTTGATACATTTGGACTTAAGTTTTGTGCATGGTGATAGATATGGATCTATCTGCAATCATCTATATGTACTCATTCAGTTATGCCAGCACCATTTGTTGAAGATGCTTTCTTTATTCCATTGTTTAGCTTTAGCTTCTTTGTCAAAGACCAGGTGTTCATAGGTGTGTGGGTTGATATCAGGGTCTTCAATTCGATTCCATTGGTCTACCAGTCTGTTTTTGTGCCGATATGAAGCTTTTTGCATTACTATAGCTCTACAGTACAGCTTGAAGTCAGGGATGGTGACACCTCTGAAGATCCTTTATTGTACAGGGTTGTTTTGGCTATCCTGGATCTTTTGTTTTTCCATATAAAGTTGAGTATTGCTCTTTCAATTGTGAAAGAATTGTGCTGGGATTTTGACAGGGATTGCATTAAATCTGTAGATAGTTTTTGGTAAGATTGCCATTTTTACTATTTTGATCCTACCTATTCAAGAGCATGGGAGATCTTTCCATTTTCTGGTATCTTCTTTAATTTCTTTCTTTAATGACTTAAAGTTCTTGTCACACAGGTCTTCCACCTGTTTAGTTAGCATTACCCCCAAGATATTTTATGTTGTTTGTGGCTATTGTAAAGGGTGATGTTTCTCTGATTTCTTTCTCTGCCCCTTTATTGTAAAAATTTAAGATCTCAGGTGTGAGAGGTGTGTTGGTGCATGCCTTTAATCCCAGTATTCAGGAATGCAGAGCCAGGTGAATTTCTGTCTATACAGCAAGTTCTAGGCTAGCCAGGGCTACACAGTGAAACTCTGTCTCAAAGAGTAAATAAATTAAATTTTAAAAGAAGGGTTAAAGCAGTGTTTCTCAACCTGCAAGTCATGACCCCTTTGGGGTTGAACTACCCTTTCACAGGGGTCACCTTAGAAAACAGATATTATATTACAATCCATAACAGCAGCAAAATTATAGTTATGAAGTAGCAACAAAATAAGTTTATGCTGGGCAGTGGTGGCACACACCTTTAATCACAGTATTCCTCAGTAGGCAGAGGCAGGTGGATCTCTGTGAGTTTGAGTCCAGCCTGGTCTATAGCTTGAGTTCCAGGATAGGCAAAGCTACACTGAGAAACCATGTCTCAAAAAAAACCAAACAAACAAAATAATAATAACAATAACAATAATTTTATGGTTGGGGTCACCACAACATGAAGGGCATGTAGGGCACACCTTTTATCTCAGCACTCAGGAAGCAGAGGCAGAGAGAGTTCTGTGAGTTCAAGGCCAGCTTGGTCTACATAGCAAGCTCCAGGCTAGCCAGGGCTACCCAGTAAGGTTTGCAACCTCAAGAATTTCCTACAAAAAAAGAAGAAACTCAAGTTGCTTTTGGTTATGTTGTCTTATCACAGCAACAGAAACCCAAGACATCTATTATATTATTCTCACTAATATAAAAATTTTGCTAGATAATAAATTGGGTCTGACAGTGGGAGGAAATTAAAATGGCTAGTAAAATTACTCATCGGTACTAACACTTATTCACATCAAGCTAACTGTGGATATAAGATACACACACCATCATTATTTTTGTCCAGACTCTTAAATGCCAGTTTCATTTTCTTCTCATGCTCTTGAAGGTACTGCATAAATTCTTCAAAATCCAGTCCTGCATCAGCGTTGACATCTGCAGCATGAAGAACTATCTACAAGAGAAGAAACTCATTGCAACAATCATCTGTAAAGCACTATGCCATGCTAACATTAGCACATTTACTATTCATGGTTTCTATAAGTGTTCATTACCTAGGTTTTAGTCATTAGTGCAAGCCTAAACACATTAAATGATTCAATTTTTTAATTCATGCAGTATTGAAGTCAACATGTCATCTCAAATAAATATGAATTTTACTAGTAAATATTTACCTCAGATACACACACCTCAAAGGCTTAAAGATTCTAAGGTATGTAGCCTTTGCCATCAGAGACAAAAAAAATCTGTCTACTAAATGTGATAAACATGAAATCCTAATATGTTCCCCAGATTAATGGTTTGAGACCTAGCCTTGTGAAGTAAGCATGTATGTTCAAGTCTCACTAAGTCCTTAAGCTTTTTAAAATAAAATTAACGCTATAGGGCTGGAGAGATGGCTCAGCAGTTAAGAGCACTTGCTGCTCTTCCAGGGGACCTGGGTTGAATTCCCAGAACCCACATTCAACCAACTGTAACTCCAGTTCCAAGTGATCTAGCACCTTTTCTGTACTCCACAGGCACCAGACACAAACATAGTACACTTACATAAATGCACACAAAACACTTATACACATAAATATAAATAAACCTTTCAAAAACAATTAATAATATGTAAAAAATATATATTGTATATTACCAAAAGACTCTTACCTCTCTGTCTATATTATTCATCTTTCTGCCATCAATGTCTAGCATAAAGTACAAAATATAAAGACCTTCAATAGATTGGATAACTCCTACTTAGTATTTATTGAGTTTCAAAATGAATGCTATGTGCTGAAAAACTAGATCCCACTGCACAGCACACAGTGAACACTGCACAGAGCATACACTGCACACCACATAATCCCCATCACACACTGCACCGCACACACTCAGCACTGCATACACCACACACTGCACACTGCACAGAGCACACACTCACATTGGACACATCTACACTGCATACTGTATACTGCGTATTGCACACAGCACACTGCTGGGCATAAAAAGACAAAAAGTTACAGTCTCCAGTATGAAGCAAATTATAGAACACTAAAGATGACTCACATCTTTCACAAAATGTTAGGTGAAATAATGCAAGAAATTCAAGGTACAATAAGCTTTGAGATATTAAATGAAGTGAAAATCCTGAAAGTCTCCAGAGAGCCTTCATAAAGGAAGACTGCCTGAGCTGATATTCACAAGGAAAAACATTTACTAAACAGATAAACAGGAGTGAACATTTCTATAATATGTGAAATATTTGCATGGAGATAAAACAGAAGTTAGTTGTAAAAATACAGTAATACTAGTGGTGATGATATCAATCAAAATATATTGACCATTTAGTCCTAAGGAAGTTGTGGATATAACTTCATTTCATCTCTATCCAATTTGCTAAATACATAAATGAGTGGAAGAAAAAATAAAGAGGGGAGAAATGATACAAAAATTATCTCACATTAATGATTCAGACTGGTGTTTTCCAATAAGCAAAAAATAAAGAGGGGAGAAATGATACAAAAATTATCTCACATTAATGATAATTTCCAATAAGAAGGACATACACGGTATTCACATGATGTCTTGGGGTTTCTATTGCTGGGAAGAGACACCATGGCAATGGCAACTCTTATAAAGGAAAAACATTTAATTGGGTGGCTTACATTTCCAGAGGTTTAGTCCATTGTCATCATAGTGCAACATGGAGGCATGCAGGCACACATGGTGCTGGGGAAGGAGCTTAGAATTCTACATCTTGATCCAAATGCCACCAGAAGACTGAGTCTACGCTGAATGTAGCTTGAATCCAGCTCCCAGCCCCTACCCAGGGTTCCTCCGAGAGAAACTTCCCAGGAGCTGGGGTTTGGGGCATGTAAAAGATTTCTAGCCAGGCGGTGGTGGCGCACGCCTTTAATCCCAGCACTCGGGAAGCAGAGGCAGGTGGATCTCTGTGAGTTCGAGACCAGCCTGGTCTACAAGAGCTAGTTCCAGGATATGCTCCAAAGCCACAGAGAAACCCTGTCTCAAAAAACCAAAAAAAAAAAAAAAAAGATTTCTATAATAACTTCACAGATGGTCCCATGCTCTTCATTCTATGTGCTCTTTATTATTCTGGTGTTACAAATTCCCATATATATCCATTCATTAACAACTTGTTAGTAATAATAAAAAAAAACTATAAGGCAAATTCTCAGAGGTCAGCGTTCTTTGTAGATCCGATGAGTCACATGTGGCAAACACTTGGTCAGCTAATTGGTGACTGACAACAACTGCAGGTTGTAAACGTTCCAGCTACCTCTTAAAGGGTCCACTACAGGTTACAAAGAGGAAACTAAACCATTGAGAGATCTAAGGAAAAAGCAAAGTATGCATGCATTTATGTTACATTTCTTAAGTGTGATTAATATCTGGACATAGTTAGTCAGTTAACAGCATTTCTTATCACCTGAATCTCAGGACCTAAACAAAAACAGTCTACTGAGCCTAAAATTTGCGTCAAAAGCTGGTACACAGTGTTAATTGCTATTTTGAATCGTATCGGGGGGGGGGGCTGGTGAAGGAAGGGTAAGATAGCATAGATGCTATTGATCCCTTGAAGGACTATGATATAGCAGGGACAGACACCTACAATACCACCCTAATTGTCATAAATCTTTGAAGGACTTAGATCTAACAAGGCCAGACACCTGAAGTTCTGCTCTGTGGAGGTTCCTCCTGTGATCTCTCCACAAGGGTGTTCCCTCTGACCAATTTGCCCAGTCAGTCAGCTATTGATAGAGAACAGGTTGCAAAGTTTCTCAACATAAAATGGGACAAAGACTGGACAATAAGAGCTTGTTTTATATGCCAGAAAATATAATGTAGGAAGAAGTCTTCCTACTAACAGTATAGATGGATAATAGGGCCCAGAAATTGAGGAATACATTGCCAGCATTTGTGAGACAAGTCTCAAGTTGTTATAAAGAGAAATCGTGGGATACACAAGAGAATCACAGATAAGCAGTATTTTTCATAAGCCTTGCTGATGAACTTAACCTCCATCAGATATGAATTTCTCTGGTGGGTAGGCTTATAAATGCCAGCTGTCATTACTGCATGTTTTGCAGACTCCATCAGTCTAGGGTCTCCATTCCGTTCCCCTCTGGGCTCTATGATTCCTGTACAGTCTCAGATCCAAAGCTACTGAGTCAGCAGCTATGCCAGCAGGTAAAATTATCCAGAAATGCACTATTATAGTGAGATATTGTAAGCTAATGTCTTTCCCAAACATTTACAAATTGCCAAGTAGAAGACATAACAGCTTTTAGATTAAAGAACACATGAAGGATTTGATTTCCCTGGCATGATGCAACTTTCTTGATTAAGAGCACTTAGCATAATTTCAGATCACTGAGTGGGAAGAGAAACAGCCCAGCATGTTCTGACATGCTTGCAGGCTTGGGAGTATTCCTCACAGCAGACTCAAGGGCTAGGATGCAGAAGACTAAGTTTTTAGGAGGTGATATCATGATACCAAGATACCGAAACTAAAAATTGGCTAGTTTGTAACTGCTTACTTGGTTTTGAGATCTGCAGAACCAGGTCTTATAAAAGCAGCACTTCCAATAGATATCTACATGAAAAATTTAATCTGATCCTTATCTCTCACCCTGTACAAAAAGCAATTCCAAATTAATCAAAAATCTCAATGTTAGATGCAAAACTGAAACTTCTGGAGGACAGAGCAGTGAGTACACTTAAGGCTAAAGTAAGTACTTTCTGAATAGGACCACTCAAGAAGGAAATGGGGCCAATGATTGACAAATGGGTCTTTGTGAAACTAAAAGGCTCTGTACCGAAAACTGTTAATCAACTAAAGAGACAGCCTATTGAACAGGAAAAAAAATCTTTGCCAGATTAGTGTCTAGAATATACAAAGAACTCAAGAAACCAAACAAAAAACAAAGAAGCCCTTTTAAAAATAGGCTAATAAACTGAACAGAGTTCCCAAAAGAAGAAAGGCATATGGCTAAGAAATCATTAATATTAAAACATCTTTATCAAGAAAATAGAAAATAAATTTACATTAAGATTTCATTGTTACCCCAGTCAAAACTGCTATCATCAAGTAACAATAAAGCAAGTAACAATAGCTGGTAACATTGAGTAGAATGGGGAATCCTCAATTGTTATTGGTGAGACTGGAAACTAAAGCAACCAAGATGGAAATCAGTATGGAGGGTATCCTCAAAAGGCTATAAATAGATGATGGACCATATGATCCAGCTATATCAATCACAGGTATACACTCAAAGGACTTTATATCCTACCAGAGAAATAATTGTTTGGCCATGTTCATCGCTTCTCTGTTCAAAATACTTAGGAAACGAAAACAGCCGAGCCGGGCGGTGGTGGTGCACGCCTGTAATCCCAGCACTCGGGAGGCAGAGGCAGGCGGATCTCTGTGAGTTGGAGACCAGCTACAAGAGCTAGTTCCAGGACACCCTGGAATACGTTGACTCGCCTTAGATTTGTGTACTGTTAAGTCAGAAGGGCACCAGTTCTGCGGTATGTGTCTGTGTATATATCTCCTGAGGCAAGCCCCCCTAGGCTGAAAGCCTCTTGAGAAAAGCAGGTTTGCCTTGGACAAAGGCTAACCCAGTCCTAACCCTTCTGGACAGGAAATGTTCAGAACCGTAGAATCTCCTTCAAATGCTGGGGTGGCTAATGACTATTTTGAGAACGTTGACATGTTTCACTGGGGATGTGTTATTCTGCACGAAGAACCCCACCAAAGGGAATTCCACTCCTACTCCACAAGCTCAGGAAAGCTCTGGAAAATTCTGAAAGGAGCAGGACGGCAGGTTGGCTCCGCTCAGTGCCGGCCACGTCTTTCGAACAATCCCAGTGTCACATTCTCTCTCTCAGTGGCTCACCTTCTCAGAGTCGTCCACAAACGTGGAATTCAAGTTTTTCAGCCCATCCCTGAGCTCCCCGATGTCCACCACACCATCCCCATTGTGGTCCAGGTCATCAAAGAGGATCTCATAGGCCAGGCGGTCATAGTCACTCTGGCAGGCCGCGGGGGGCAGCACGAAGCCCCTAAGCCAGTGCAACATGGCCCC